AGGGGGGGGGGGAGAGGGGGTCCCCTCGAGTGTTGCTACAATTTCACTGAAGATAGGAATGGGAACCCCCCAAGTATCTTGAGATATGATGAGGTGGATTCTATGTCGTCTGAGATAAAGAGAATGATCAAGAGATTGGTCAGATGGAGTATTTTACAAGCCGATTGCATTCCCAAAAGTTGTATAATCAACATATAGTATGAAGGAGATTGCATTCCTCCACATATAAACCACAATGATTTTGTAAGGCCCTTCTGCACTGTGTCCTTCCTGAGCAAGAGCAATATTCTATTCGAAAAACAAATCAATGTTATTGGCCCCAGGGAGTTCAGAGGATCTGTCGAGATTCCGCTACCGATGGGTTTAGTACTAATTCTTAAGGGAAATGGAGCAGACTTAGCCAAACACTGCATTTCGGGGGTACGACACCGCAGAGCGTTTGTGACATTCAGAAGAATGGACGACAGTAAGATACCGTATGGGTTTTGACCAGATCTAGAGTTAGAGGAGCTACGCCTGTACAAGCTATGTGACGGTTGCACCTCTTAGTACACGTAAAAGGAATTATTGTCCTGGAGCGTGGCTTAATAGGCCAGCTTGATCAGAAGCTAACCCCACAAAGGAAAGACAGGCAGTCAGTGGACATATTTCTACTGCATCAAAATAGCATATATGATATGGGGGGGGTTGGGGGTCCCCTCGAGTGTTGCTATAATTTCACTGAAGATAGGCATGGGAACCCCCCAGGTATCTTGAGATACGATGAGGTGGATTCTATGCCGTCTGAGATAAAGAGAATGATCAAGAGATTGGTCAGATGGAGTATATTACTAGCCGATTGCATTCCCAAAAGTTGTATAATCAACATATATGATGAAGGAGATTGTATTCCTCCGCATATAAAACACAATGATTTTGTGAGGCCGTTCTGCACAGTGTCCTTCATGAGCAAGAGCAATATTCTGTTTGGAAAAGAAATCAATGTTATTTGCCCCGGGGAGTTCAAAGGACCTGTCAAGATTCTGCTATCAATGGGTTCAGTACTAATTCTTAAGGGAAATGGAGCAGACTTAGCCAAGCACTGCATTTTGGGGGTACGACACCACAAAGCTTCTGTGACAATCAGAGGAATAGATGACAGTAAGATACCATATGGGTTCTAACCAGATCCAGAGTTAGAGGAGCTACTCCCGTACGAGCTATAAGACGTTGCACCTCTGAGTACACGTAAAAGGAATTCTTATCCTGGAGTGTGGCTTAATAGGTCAGCTTGATCTAGAGTTCACCCCACAGAGGACAGACAGACAGTCAGTGGACACTTTTGTACTGCGCCAGAGCAGCATAGATGATATGTACTCCGCGTATGATTTTTCACATATATTCAATATGTTGTCTCTTTTGATGCTTCAGCCTGTATTCAGACTGTAACACCTTTTTGAAGCTGATTAATGAAATTTCTTTCACTTTCAGCATGTTTGTCAAATTGCCCTCTTTGTGCGATTGATAAAGAGTCATGGAACCAAACATTGGTTCTAAATTATAATGAGCCAAAAACAATACATTGAAAATCTAATATTAGAATTTGAATTTATTTTTGAAAATCAACCAAAAAAAATTAAAATTTGAAAATATACTTTAATAATTAAATTTGATAAAGATAACAAGAAAACATAATGATAAATTTGTTGAGTTAGTTTCTCTCGAGTTTGAGGTTTCTTACCCTTTGCTTGCGCAACACGACTATCTTGGTTTGCACCAATTTCCTCACATCCTCACAGAGTTTCACACTCTGCATAAAGTTTCACAAATTTTTTTCTCACCAATGTCAATTTTCATATTTTCCATATCTATGAGTTTAGCACCATAAATTCTCTGCATTTTTTTTGGGGTTGTTCTCGGGGCCAGTACCGAGATGCTAATTCCCTTTCTACTACCTCTTAGGTTCGATATAAGTCATCGAGCTTTTCTCCCCAAAGTAGTGATAACTTTTCGATCAGCTCTTGAGTTGGATGTGAATCATCGAGCTTTCCTTCTCAATCTAGTCTTTCCGTCACCCCTTTGGTAAGATGTGAGTCATCGAGCTTTCCTTTCTAATGTGACACAAATCTTTGAAGATAGTTCTAAGACCACCTTAAATAGAGTAAGGCATCCTATTCTCATCTTTCGAGATTGGTTTTAAGACCACCTTAAATGGAGTAAGGCATCTGATTCTCAACTCAAATCTTTAAGATAGGTTTATGACCACCTTTAATGGAGTAAGGCGTCTTATTCTCATCTTTTGAGTTCAGTTTTAAGACCACCTAAAATGGTTTAAGGCATCTGATTCTCAAATCAAATATTTGAGATTGGTTTAAGGCCACTTCAAATGGAGTAAGGCATCCTATTCTCATCTTTCGAGATTGGTTTTAAGACCACCTTAAATGGAGTAAGGCATCTGATTCTCAACTCAAATCTTTAAGATAGGTTTATGACCACCTTTAATGGAGTAAGGCGTCTTATTCTCATCTTTTGAGTTCAGTTTTAAGACCACCTAAAATGGTTTAAGGCATCTGATTCTCAAATCAAATATTTGAGATTGGTTTAAGGCCACTTCAAATGGAGTAAGGCATCCTATTCTCATCTTTCAAAATCAGTTTTAAGACCACTTTAAATGGAGTAAGGCATCTGATTCTCAACTCAAATCTTCGATATAGGTTTAAAACCACCTCAAATGGAGTAATGCATCCTAATCTCACCTTTTGAGATCGGTTTTAAGACCACCTTAAATGGAATAAGGCATCTAATTCTATACTCAAATCTTCGAGATAGGTTTAAGACCACCTCAAATAGAGTAAGGCATCTTATTCTCATCTTTGGAGTAAGGTATCCTATTCTCATCTTTGAGATCAGTTATAAGACCACATTAAATGAATTAAGGCATCAAATTCTCTACTTAATTCTTTGAGATAAGTTTAAGACCACCTTAAATGGACTAAGGCATCCTATTCTCATCTTCGATATCTGTTTTAAGACCACCTTAAATGGAGTAAGACATCTGATTTTCTTTCTGAAATTGATACCTAAATTTCAATTCTCATCTCGGGGTTAGTACCTAAATTCTGATTCCCTTCTTTTCGAGGTTGGTATCTAAATTTTGATTCTCTTCTCGGGATTGATACCTGAATTTTAATTCTCACTTTAGGTTCAGCACCTAAATATTGATTCTCATCATCCGAAGCACCTGAAGATTGATAATTTAAAATATACCTTCTAATCCCCAGTAAGGATTCTGACTACTTGGTTTCGATCGGATATTCACTTGCTAATTCCCCAGCGGAAACAACTATCACTCAATTGTACACTTCATTCTATGTTTGTTGACTTAGAAGTTTGTGTTTGTTTTGTTGATCTCATCGGTCAATGCCAATACGCATGATGTGCTTGTCTGACACACCCCACCTATTGGGAGTCCATTTGTTGACCTCACTTTTGGTTGAGGTCTAGTTTTTCCTCTGTAGTATCCTCGGGTCTAGACATAGGACTTTCCCGTTGATTATTTTTAGAGGACTAGAAAGGAACCTTTACCCATAAAAATCCCAAACTTTTCTCTGTTCAACTTGAAGTTCTACATATTGGTCCAAATCTCTAGCACTTAGTAGGTCAATATGGGGGAGCTCCGGATGAGTTCTCATAGGACTACTTGGCCTTAGGGTCAACCCTCTACTGGTGTGGTCTTGGTTGCTCTCACTCACACACTTGTACATTGCACTTCCACTCACTACCTTAAGCCAAAGCCCACCTAACATTGACCCCTTAACCCTTTGGGAGACTCAAGTAGATGGTCCCCTAAACCCACTAGCCCTAGGCTAGGGTTTAGCTAAGACCAGTACATGGAGGACCCAAAGTAGAGGATTCCATTGGTCCGTGACTCAAGTAGGGTGATTGACACCCCAACTTTACTAAAATACCAAATTTAGCCTTTTGCCCCAAATCTATCCAATTTACCAAAATGCCCTTGAAACTCCAAAATTCTCAAAATTACCCAAAATACCCAATTTTTTCCAAAATTCATGTTAAACCATTTTAAACTACCCAATTTTTCCAAAAACATCCCAAAATTTTTAAAATTACCAAAATACCCCTCATTTAGCGAAAATTACCAGAATGCCCTTGGTGAACCAAATTGCCCCAACACCTCCATCAAAATCACTTCAAATGTACTCAAATATAATTTGAACCATTCTATTGAGCTCAATTTGATCTATATGACCAATTTTGACAAAGAAAATCACTAAATTGCCTTTAAAGGCCTAATTACCACAATTCACCCCCAATATCCACCAATTTGATCCCAATTTCCCCCAATTTCAAATATAAACTCAAATTAATCATGCCCAAGCTTGATTGTGACTAAATTCTAGCCTAATTTACCAACTATAGAATCCAATTTTAACCCAAATTAAAAAACCACAATTTGACCCAAGACAAAAATCTCAGTCAATTGAACCCCAAAATCTATCCAATTGCCCAAATTTTGCATCATAAACTCTTCAAAATTTTTCCCACATCAAATTAAACCTTCAATTGGCCTTAGTCATGTCTCAATTTCACCCAAAACCAACTTGAACCAAAACCCCCAATTTTACCCGAAATTGACCATGTCTCCAAATTCAACTTAATTGAACCCCATAACCTCAAAATTTCCCCTCAATTTCTATCCAAAACTCTTCATGACAATAATTAGGACCAAGTTGAACCATTAATTGGTCCCTAGCCAAACTCTAGTCCAATTCAAACCGAAGTCTAACCCAACACCCGCAAAATTGACCAAATGCCCAATATCCTTCAAATTGAACCTCCAAATCAATTTAAAATAACTCCAAAACTTTTCTTAACCTTCTAAATTCTTTGTGACAATCATCCACACCAAATTTCTCAATCACTTGAGTCAAATGTTATGGCTAGTCCAACCCAAACCCAACTTCAAGACAATTTGATCCAAATTGAAACCATGCACCAAAATTGACCAAGCCATGCCAAATTGATCAAATCATAGCCGCAACAACCTCTCTTTGGATCCTAGCGACCAGGCTAGACCTACCTAGCCCACCCTATGGGATCCACGGACCAATAGTCCCTTGATTTAAGGGAGCTTATCCTTGTTTGGGCCTAAACCAAAATATACTTGCCATCATGCCATACTATTAGGAGTTAATCATAATTAACCCTCCCCCTGGCTCACCTAGTTGCCGGACCACCTCCTCTGCCTTGGCCAGCCAACTTAGTGGCCAGAAAAATCTAAATCCAAGAGCCACCCCCCTTGAATCAAAACCTATTACACCCATCAAATGTGCCCAACCATGATTGGCCTTTAACACTTTGCAGCTCTCCATCTTAGCTCCATATTGCACCTGAATTGAAGCCCTGATAGCTAACCTAAGCCATTCTATTTAAACCCACGTTCCATGGCCAAAAGGGGAGAGAGCAAATTTTCTTGACGAAACTCTGCCAAATTTTTCCAAGAGCTCCTTTAAGACTCCCTAAGCTCATTGCAACTATCTCCTGGCCATTTTCCCCACCACGTGAGCCCAATTTTTTAGCTCAAAATCATGACAAATTTTTGGCCATCCTCTAAACTTCCCCAAAATCCAAATTGAACTACTCTTAAGCTTCCCCAGAGCAAGAGAGGTAGATTCCCACTGAAATCCTCCTTTGTTGAGCTCTCCAAATCACTCCTAGACTAAGGCCACACCCCATTTCATTAAAATCCAACTTGGAGCTTACACTAGAGAAAACCAATACATTTAGGAGGTTTATTGTACTCCATTAAAGCTTCCACAAGCATCTGATTGAGGCCTTCTGATTGAGGCCTTGGTATAGGCCATTAACCCTAATCTTGAGCTTCGTTTTCACCAAATGTGAAGTGAAGTTTAATTTCATAGCAAATGTGAAGTGAAGTTTATGAAGTTTAATTTCATAGCATTGTGACCATATGGATGTGTTCATCTCGAGTAGATAAAGGTGTATGAACAAATCCTACTTGATCTGGTTGAGTATCGAGCGAGATCTTAGGTCTAGAAGTTGGACGACTCACGGGTTTGGTTCATCGAGGACAATGAAGGAGGACCGTCTGATCGCTCGTGTATCAGATGGATGGACGAGATTGAGCCGGACAGATGCCTGGGTGCATGAACAGCGGGTTGACTTAGACGACAACACCGAATTAGGAGATGTCGCGTGGAGCTTCGGAGTCGTTACATGTTTACGTGGCGCTGACTGAGATGAATATAAAATTAAGAATTTTCATGATTTAAATAAATATCATATCTATGAAAATCCTTAACCTTTCATAGAAATACCATTAAAAAAAATTAAAAATATCCTCTTACTCAGTGAATAGAGGAGAAAAATGTGGACTAAAAATAAAAATTTTTTGCTTACTCTTTAATTTTTAAATAATTAAATGTTCTTTTTGGAATTTAAATTCATTATGGCTAAGCATTGCTCACCAGAGCGTGAAATTTT